AGATGCCCACCGAGTTTCTCCCTGTGGACTGCTTAGCTACCTAACCTCGAGGGTGAGGGATGCTGATTTCTCTGGACTGCCCTCCCAGCTACTAGCTGTGTTTGGGCATGGCTAACTGCAGGCCTTTGTCTCTGGCGCAAGATCCAACCTCCGCAATTAATTTGGGAAGAAGTGGATGTGCTGCAGTTTGCCTCAGTTCTGTCGACCACCACCAGGGACCTCCCACCCCCACCCCGCACGCTGCGGCAAATCCTGCAGTTCGTCTCTGTTCCCTCTAAGGGCCTTCTGCCTAGTGTAAGGCGAGAAGCTCTCTGACCCGGGGCCCCTTCCACCCCTCCACCTGCAATCCCTTTTCCATTCCTCAAAGAGCTCCCCGCTCTGACTCGGAGAACTTAACGCAGACCTCCAGGCTTGGCGAGGGTCTATTTTACCAGCATAGGACCAGGCTCAGTGGGCAGGATTTCACAGCATCTCCATCTTCAAGGCGTTTTGGGAAAGAATAGGAGAGTGCCTCTCTGGTGTGGCTCTGCAGAAGCTCCCGGATGTGATCTGCTGCTCCCTGCCAAGCAGTTCTCCCTTTCCTACAGTTCACCATCTTTAGCTGCTCAGGGGCGTGGACTTTCTCAGCCCCAGCAAGCCTTCTGCCTAGTGCCCTGCAAAAATCCTCTGACTCAGGCGTCTCTCTGCTCCTCCTCTCACTGCCGTTTTCTTGTTTGTATGAATCTCACTCGCAGTGCTTCTCTTCCTGGAGGGGTGGTTGGAGTGATTGTGAGCCTCCCCCATCAGGCAGGCCATAGCTGAACAGCCAGCTCTCTATCTCAGCCTGACCCGCTGTCAAGGTGGCCTGTGCCCCTGATGGGGGTGGGGGACGTGGTGACCTGGGAGTAGCGAGGTTTCCCCTTTCCGTTCGCTCAGACACTGGATTTAGCATAGTCAGGAAGCCAGGCCATCAGGGGACCCTGTGCCAACTGCCAGTTCTAGAGTAGCAACATCATTTTATCTGGGATCTGGAGACCACAAAGCTGCAGCAGAAACCATGGACTTCAGAGAGAAGTCATTTCCAGATCTGCATCATCAAAGACTGTTCATTCTTCCATCTAGCCCTACTTAGCCGAGTCTTAATCACACTGCAACGTCTAATGGGGAGAAACAGAAGGAGAAGGAGCAGAAGAAGAGGAAGATGATGATAAGGAGAAGAAGGAGGAGGAGAGGAGGAG